CTAGGGAATTGGACCCTAAACCCTAAACGCCTAAACCCCTAAACCCCTAAACCCTAAACCCCAAACCCCTACACCCCAAACCCCTAAACCCTAAACCCCTACACCCTAAACCCCTAAACCCTGAACTCAGGCTCCCAGCCTGCCAGACTGATTGGTCTAGGATGGCGGCCGAAAGCAAACTGCCCGAAACCGCGACCCTGTAACCACGGTTTAGGGTTTAGGGTGTAGGCTTTAGGGGCCCCTGTAGCCGTAACCTGAATCCCAAGGTGTGGCAAGGGCACGTGCTTGTTGGAGATGCCCTCAGTTTAACTCCCGTCTCGGTTTAAAGCCCCTTGAACCGCAACCTACTTGCAGAATCACATGAACCTAAACGGTGACAGCGGTTCACATTCTTCGCTATTCGGCAGCAAAACCGAAACTCTGAATCAGCAACCCGCGAGATGACTTTACGATTTGAGGTGTTCGGGTCCTAGCGATTCGGGGTTTTGAGGTTTAGGGTTTTAGGNNACCTGCAACCCTAAACCCTAAACCTCTCGGGGCCCATCAGCAGATCTTGCCCCGACAGCTTTTCGTCTATAGCCAAGGCTTCAAGCCCTATACGTAAACCCTCATCCTAGCAATACTAGGGTTGAGGGGTTTAGGGGTTAAGGGCTCAGTTCAAGGTTCATACAGAAAGGCAGTCGGTATCATAGTGCTCACCGAATATAAATGCAAGAACTGGGAACAAGTAGCCATAATTAATGACAATGGCATTGATAATGTACGGTTCGTGCCAATAAGAAACCCAGCAGTTTTCTAATCCCTGGCCCCAAACCTTGTAGGCAACTTGGTAACTTCTCAGCGGACTTCTAACTTCTAAACATTCCAAACCTGAAACCGAGACCCAAACACTAGACCCTAAACCCTTGACCCTGAGACCCTAAACCCTAAACCCTAACTCCCTAAACCCTAACACCCTAACACCCTGAAACCCTAAACCCTAAACCCTGAAACCCTAAACTCTAAACCCTGAAACCCTAAACCCTGAAACCCTAAACCCCTAAACCCTGAAACCCTACATTTCACCAATCCAGGAAGTTCCGAAGTCTCGCGACAGCACCCACAGCGATGACGACGACGACACCGATGCATCTGAGAAGAAGGCGCTGAGGGCTACAGGGTACACCCTAAACCCAAAACCCAGGGTTTAGGGTTTAGGGTTTAGGACCCTAAACCCTAGAGGCTTGAGGATTCAGACCCTAAACCCTTGCAGCCCTAAGCCCTAAACCCCTACACCCTAAACCCTGCAGGCCTGAGGATTGAGGGTTTAGGGTTTGAGGTTGAGCATGTATATAGAAGCAAAGCCGCCAGGCTCAGGGGCCTAAGCCCCAACCTTAAGGCTCCAAGGGGTTTTGGGGGTTTCGGGTTTAGGGGTTTAGGGTTTAGAGGTTTAGGGTTCAGGGTTTAGGGTCTAGGGAAGCCCCAAGCTCAAATCCTTAATCCCAAGCCTAACACCACAAACTCGACATTCTGAAAGCCCCAAACCCCGAACTAAGCGAGGAAGACGAGGGCCCGAGGGGGGTGGATACGGCGTGTTGAAAGCTTGGCTTTGCTTGGAATAGCTTTTAGGGTTTAGGGGTTAGGGCTTTAGGGGGTTCAGGGGTTGGTGTTTGGGGGTCTAGGGGTCTTTAGCGGGTATTTGAAGTGAAGCCTTTGTCTTGGAGTGATAGGAGGCCTTACAAGGCGGTCTCCTTAGACTGCTTATCTACTCCAAAGCCAGGTCTCTGCTTGCTTTCCGAACGGAGCAAAGACGCCCTAGAATCCCTACAAACTGACTGTCAAAAACTTAAGGGTGCAGGGTCTCGCGCTTCTGGCTTTGCGGCTTTCGTGTGTAGCGTCTTGGAAGTTGGTGCAGGTGGCGAAGGGTTTTCAAAGTCGTTAGGAGTATGTTCGGGATGCTGGTGGTGAAGCTGGTGTTGCTGATGGCATGTTTTTGGATATTAGCAGCTCTGCTGCAGACAGTTTAGGAGTCTGATGACGACATTGCGAGGCTGCTGTTGATTCGGAGGGTGAAGCAGGAGTCGGCATCGAATCCAGGTTCAGCCATTGCTGCGTGGCTCGCCCCTACCTCAAATCCGTGACCATGCAACGGGAGGGGTTCGGAGGGGTACTTCTGGAGCCCGGATAGCAGCATTGCACCTGGTTATGCTTATGTGGAGGACTTGAAAGTGCCTGCGCCCGAACACTTGTTCAGGGCTTGGGGCTATCCCGACATCTAGACTGCTTCTAGCGGCGCCATGGCCGCTGCCTTCGCGGTGAACGATTTCGTGCGGGTGACTGTGAAGGCAGAGCAGTATCAATACTTGAACGGTTGCATTGCTCGAGTCCTCGAAGCTGGGACAGACCGGTGACTGCTTGGGTTTGCGTAAGTCGGGTGTCATCCGCACTGGGTTATCCATTTTGGGCTTGGGCCTGTCATGCATCGCCGGTTAGCATCCACTGAGTTTCGGTATGAAGGTGTCAAGTTGATCATACATGTGTGCGGCGTCACAAGGCACGGCGGCAGCCAGAAGAGTAACACCAACTTTGCATGTTAAGAGTTTCGGTACTCGTCTCCGTGCAACTTTCAGCTGGGAGTGCGCTCTTGCAGGGATCTCGGACGGCTCTTGGAGAGCTCTTGCGTTTTTCAGTCAGTGCCCGGGTAGACGTCCCACGTTGCTAACGATGCCCACGTTATAGGCTTCATCTCAAAAAGCGGCTGATGTAGTCATGTAGTGGCGCCGGCAGTTGACGTTCCCAGGCCCGTCTTTAGAAGGCTCGACACATGTGGGTTTGGAGTATCAGCGGGTCATGCATATTGCTCGGTGCTCTTATAACCTATATCCGTGCAATGCAAACTCACTTGTAGATTCTGGTTTGAGGCCCCCACAACTGTGCCCACAACTGTGAGAATCCGAACTTCTTGTTCATGGAACTTCGTATGCACTGTGACACGGAAAGCACATGATGTGCTACATAACCCTGTTGTTGTAATTCAAACACCGTGTTTCCTACCCAGACTCACGCTTAGCTAATCTAAGGACGGGCCCGACCGCAAGTCCAAGTACAAGGTAGAGTGTGGTGCAGTGGCGGGGTCTGCGCGTGACGCCGTGCATGACGACCTTTTCATCAAGAAAATCTTGCCGTCGTGCTTATCGCCACTTGCCCACACCGAATTCTGTCCAAGCGGTCTTGACCTGGGTGAGTTCGTCGAAATACACGGTTTGCAGTCAGACGCTGGCATGGTTCTGAACTTTCGGCGTGGTGAAATCGTCTCCTTGCCCGAGCATATTCCGGAAGATGCTGAGGAGGCGCGCTACGGAGTTTGCATACCTTCCATGGCAGCCAGCAGGGTTTCAGAGTCAACCAGGTCCGTGTGGGTCAAAAGCTTGAAAGGGAAAAACCTGCGCAAGTTGCCGCGTCAAGCCTGTCCTCTTCTTGACGTGAAGTTGTTGGCAGCCGAAGTGCTGACGGAGTGCCAATACGTTTGGAGAGCTGCAAATGGTGATCAATACACCGACTACCTCGCACGCTTCAATATCGTCTTGCATCTGACGAAGGTTGTTGCTACTTCTACTGATCGCATAAAACTGTCTGTAAGCGCAGAAGCTGGCATGGATCCCGAAGCTGAAGTCTTTCTCACATGTGACCTTGTAGTGTTGGAGGTGCAGTCGACGGCAGAAAGCGGGGCTGCAGGTGGTCGGGGCAAGCAACCATGGTCGTCACTCGTGCCACGTCGGTCTGCCGCCACATATCTGCTGCCAGTCTCGCAGGGCGGTGCGCAAAAAATCAGCGTTGATCCTTTGAGGGCGACTCCGCTTGATGCGAAGACTGTGGAGCGTAGCCTCTGCCAATATATCGGTGGCGAGGGGGTGCAGATGAGCTTCACAAATGGTATCCCTCCGAATTACGACGCTGACGAGTGCGAGTTCAGAGGGCCGACTCCAAAGCACTTCGATGTTCGCGTACTGGATCGGATGGTGGTTCGGGAAATTCCCTGCGAGTTCGGCGGTCCCGCATATGTAGCCTTGGAGGCATACCCGCATGCTACCAAGTGCATAGCGGAAAGTGAGACCCCCGAGGCCGACGGCCCTTTTCTGCTCTGCAAGTCATCTGCTTTGCAGCGTGAGCTCGGAGGCTACGAAGCGGCTTTGCGGCTGCTTTCACGTGTGCTCACGGTTGGCAAGTGCAATGAGTATGCCATGGCAGCTGGGTTCTTGTTGTTAAGGTACTTGATGTAAGTTACCACAATGATGACATACGCACATGCATACATACATACTTACTTACTTACACATATGCATAGACATAGACACATACATATAAATATAAATGTACATATACATGTACATATACATGTACATACACATATATATTTATATGCATATGCACACATACATATAGCTACATATGTAGCGTTAGTATAGGCAGACATATGGCATGATAGGATATGTTATGACATGATTCGGGATGAGATGGTGTGCTATAACATGACATGACATGACATGACACGGTACGGTGTGTAATGATATAGCATGCTTCGGTGTGATATGATATGCATAGTCTTATGTGTATGTATATATATGTAGGTATGTAAACAAATGTGCACACATAGATATAAATGCATATGTATACATATATATATATATATCTGTTTGTCTGTCTGTCGGTCTGTCTGGCTGGCTGTCTGTCTGTCCGTCTTTCTGTCTGCCTGTCTGTCTGTCTGCCAGTCTGTCTGTCTGTCTGTCTGTATGTGTATATACATATATATATATATATACCCAGCTATTTATAGATGTGTTTATAGACGTATCGGTATATATAGGTATACACCGTTTTGCGTAGCTTCTACTTGCATGTCTACACACTACAAGTACTATGCCTTGTTGCTTGCAAGCTTTATTTCGGTCTTTGACCCTTTGCAAAACCAGGTGATGTGCGTATTGCTTCAGCAACTTGAGCCAGAAATAATGCCAGTTTTCGGTGGACATGTGATCTACGACTTGCGAGTCGAGAATGGCGGCTTTGTGAGTTTCACGCCGGATGAGTCCAAACAACGACGCACCCCCGTCATCGAAGTTCGGGGTGACTTTACCACTCCAGTGAAATTTCGCGGGCCGACCGTCGCGTCTGCGGCCGATGTCGGTGAGATGCAAGGTTGGAGTCGTTCCCATACATGGTTGTCGTTCAAGACACACGACGATGATGGCAACATCTGTTACTACATCATGGATCTGGCAGCTCCACAGTTCGGCATTTTTGGCGAAAAAATCGGTGTTGACCCAAGGCTCCCCGAGGTGTTCTTGCTCATTCAGCAGACCAATTCAGTCAAGGGCGAGGCGACAGCAGTTGCCAGAATGGAAAACCATTCTGATCCCGACAGCTCCAACACCTTCGTACCCGCGGCGTATTGCAAGACACGAACGTCTGTTTCTGTTCCTCACAACTTCCATGCTCTAGTCCACGCAGCCTGGATGTATACTCACAACAACTTGTTCTCCACCCCCAACACGAAGCTTCAAGAGATCTGTTCAATGTTCCTTGGGGGTGATGGCCGTTATCTGCGATGTATCCGACAGCTACCCAGGCCATACAACTGCCCGGACATTTTTGTCGGGACGAACAAGTTCAAGTATTTTGGCATTGGCGTGACCATTGCAAATGATCTGTTGCTTGCCTGTAATTTGTCATATCATAAGTCTGGGTTTGAGCCGGAACCTTTATGCGTCCAACTTCACCAAAGTGTTGTGTTGCATCTGTAGAAGCTGGCACAGGGCCCATTCTCCCGTCTTCCTCATCCTGGAATGTCCAAGCCTGGAACAATGATGGTCAGTAGCGAGCTGGGTGTTGAACTTTCAGAGACCCAGGACCGCCTACGACCTCCTTACGAAGCTCGAAGAAGAGCTCAGGAGCTTCGTGCTGCGAGATCAGGGTCCTGGCCCATGTGATCTCAATATGCAGCTATTTCGACGCTTCCTGACATCGGCCCCATGTCTGCAATCGTTACAACAGAGATCTGGCATGACCGTCCTACAGCTTTGGCAAAGCAATGAAGCCGGCAACGCGTCCATAATGACAATCCTCGGGACCGAGCAGCGCATTCCAGCTGCAGCACGAGTTCTGAGAGATTTCCTATGAAGGCCCCAATGGAAGGGGTGCCTGCGCCGGTCTTATCGGCACTTGTAACGATGGGAAAAACCGGAGATTGAAGCGGGTGAGCTCTACGTGTAGCAAGTTGTAGTAACTGCAGGCATGTAAATGTATCCAACTACAAAGACTAGCCTGTTATCCTATTCCACCTGTCATTCCTTCGCAGGCACCTGCTGCCGCTCCCCGACCGTATCCGGCTCAGCCATTCCAGAGCTCGGGATTATGACGTCTTGAACCCTAAACCCCCCAAACCTGCACGCCCCAAACTCTGAAATCCTACAGCCTGGGTCCTGCGAGTCGGGAAACCCCGAACCTGAGACCCTGCTGACATTCGTAAGTATGATATGACTTCCTTATACATTTCCGTGCTGGGTGCTTCGGGTCATACACGGGCAGGGCCCTTTTCGATCTTCTTCTAGGCCATTATTTAGATTTCTGAATCCGCACAGCAGCCCATGAACCCCAAATGGCAAAACCCCCTGCTTGAAGGATCATGGACATGCTAAGCTGCTATACTTGGAGCTGCAGGTACCTACCTTGATCGTGGTCATCGTAGTTGTAAATTCACAACCTATTAGTACGTCTCCTCATAAAGCCCTGAGACTATGGCTTGAATAATGACAACAAAAGTCCTTCCAGGTTCCTTAACTCCCCTACACCATTTCTATTCATTCACAGGCTTATCAAGGCCCTTTGTCTTCTTCCCTGTTAAACCCTATAGGACCTAATTAAGTGAGCATTAAGCATTACTTCCTTACAAGCAATACAACAGGCCTTTCCTCAAGGTCCAAGAGCGTCTTGGCCTCCACCCGGGAGCCTTACAATCGCTTCGTCTACCGGCCCCTGACCCCACCTCAAGGAGGTATCATGGGGTCTTGGGCGCTTCGGGCGTAGGTTTGGGTTGAGGGTTAGGGTTCAGAATTCAAGGGGCTTGAGGTTTGGGATTGTGTAGAGTCTAGGGCTGTGGTTTTGAGTTGGAAAAATCCACGAGTAAGGTTCAAGAAGGGCTTTACGAAGCTTTTTCGTTCTTCAATGGCATGAATCGGGTTTTAGGGACCCGGGTTTCGGCTGGGCGTGCAGGGTTTAAGTTAAGTTTGAGGCTTTCGGGTTTAGATATATAGGCTTCTCAGCACGGCTGCAAGCCCCTACTGAATATTCTACTGACCTGCTCGTGTTTAAGTGCTTGAGTTCGAGGGGTTTGTGCTAAACCCTAAACCCTAAGCCCTAAACCCTTAACCCGCCCAGTCGCCGTGGCCGAGCTTTTGCCGAACCAGGGCCAAGACTGAACGAATCTTGAATTTCGACTCCCTGACCTCAACAGTACATACGCAACTGGAGGTAGGGATCTGCAAGTGCGTCGTGGGCATAGTGCTGTACAACTTTTGCGAGGCTTTGAATGCCTTGCCCTACTCGCCCCGATAGCAAGAAAACAAGGATTTATGCAGTCCACGCGCCCATGTCGAGAGACGACTGGACCCGAAACTCACAACCCTGAACCCTAAATCCCAACATACCCAACATGCTTCAAGTACGAAGCCTAAGCCCCAAACCGGCCCAAACCCCTGACCCCGAGACCTCTAATTTCGAATGCCAGGAAGCCTCGTCCTTCCCTGGTAACGGCCTTACCTAGAACCCCGTCCTTGAAAACCCCTCAAGAAACCCCTTTAGTGGGGATTCCCTAAACCCTAAACCCCTAAACCCTAAACCCTAAACCTTTAACGTCAAGAGCCTAAGCCAGGAAGCCTCAGCCCCAACGAGGCCTTAAGCCTTCAAAACCCGGAGCCCTAAAACCCTGAAGCCTAAACCTTGAGCCCTAAACCCTAAACCCTAAATCTTAAGCCTCGGATCCCTAAACCCTAAACCCTAAACCCTAAACCCTAAGATAAGGAGAAAGCCAGGAAGCCTCATCACTCTGAGCCCACTTTCTTCTCGAGAGCACCGGGCTCGCAAAGCGAGCCTGGTTAGCCGGCCAAAGGCTCCTTTGGGGTTTAGGGTTTAGGGTTTAGGGGGGGTGGGGGGTTGAATAGGGTTTCGGGGGTAAGGTTCACGGCTTCAGGGGTTTTGATAGTTGTGGGGTGCCCAGGTCCTACAGGGCTTTAGCGTTTGTTCCCAAGTTGTTACCAGTTTTTCAAGGTTCTATAGCATTCGGTTGGGTACAAGGGAGGATTTGCAGCACGGGGTTCTACAGGGCTTTGCGGGATTTGGCATGCTTTGGTTGTTTATGGCACTTCTACGGTATTTGTGTTTGTTTTCGGCATACGTGTTTGTTTGCTACTCTTCGCAGCCCAGTGGCTGACCACCGAGGAGTTGGGACTTTCCGAAAATTAGGGGTACCTTATGTTGGGGTCCTTATACTAAGGATCCTACTATTTAGGGTACTATATTAGGGTCCCCTATTTTCGGAAACCCCAAGTCGGATGCTGAAGATGCAGATGTGAACTGGATCCCTCTTGAGCGGCTGGATGCTGCACCTCCGCCCAAGGCAAACCTCAGGGCCCCGCAAGACGCCGATGCCGAGTTGCCTGGTGACCCTAAACCCTAAACCTTGAAAGCCCTACACCCCTTAACCCTAAACCTTGAAAACCCTACACCCGTTAACCCTAAACTCCTAAACCCTAAACCTTCAAAACCCTACAATTTGGCATCTCTCCAGGACCAGTCGAAAGCCGCCCGCGGAAAAACAAAGAAGAGAAGCATTCGCAAGCTGATAAAGCGGGCCAAGCTTTCTGATGTATTCTGGAGTTTCAACGCAGCACAGAGACAGGGACTCTTGAGAGATGACGGGGTGTAAATTTTTGAAACCCCTACGGCTGAGCCCGAAGAGCTCCCGACACCGCCGCCTTCTGACATGCCGCGCCCGCCGCCTTCTCAGCGGCAGCGATGCTGCAGAAAACCCCGTCTGCAGCGATATATGGAGCACAAGTTGGGGCACGCTCAAGGTGAAGCCCTGTGCCTTGTTCCGCTGGAGCGAGGAGCATCCGCTTCAGCCCGCCTGGATGCAGCTTTTATTCAGTAAGCCCGAGAAGGGCAAGTGCTACTACAGAGAGAAAGCCCTTTTTGACAGCCCCGTTGCACGGGAGATGAGCCGACATTATATTAGTATGCAGGATCTCTACAACCGCCTGCCCCTCCTTGCACTCAACAGTATGCACGGGACTGTGGCGGGAGTGCGATTCATAAATCCAAGGTGGTATGGCCGTGAATCCGGCATCACGGCGGACGCGGCCGCAGCGGGACTTGAAAAGGATCAGCAACAAACAACGCCTCATGAATCCAAGGCTTACAGTGATTCCGGCGTGCCCGGAGGATGCGGCTGCAGCGGGACTGGGCAAAGATCGTCGCCCAACTCCTCTCCAAAGTATGCGCAGGACTGTGGCGGGAGCGCGATGCATGGGACCGCGGCTCATGATGCCAAGTGGTACCCCTTGCTAAAGCGAATCCGGCATACCCGGGAGATGCGGCCACAGCGGGACTGGGGAAAGATCGCCACCCAACAACATTTCAAAGCATTCACGGGACTGTGGCGGGAGCGCGATTCATGAATCCAAGGCTTACAGTGAATCCGGCATACCCGGAGGATGTAGCCGCAGCGGGACCGCGGAAACATCGCGCGATCCACCCTATAACACTCCAACTTGTGCATGGGACTGGGAGCGCGATTCAACGGCCACGACCGCAGCGGGGCGAGAGTATGCACAGGACTGTGACGGGAGCGCGATTCATGACGTAAACACTCTCCGAGGACCGTCATGGGTTGTGTCACTGTGTACTTTTGACAGGTACCGATCCGGCAGCAAA